GCGCACCTGCCCGCACAGCTTGGAAGGTTGGTTCGAAACTTTGGGACACAATCCATGTTTCCATGACCCATATGTTGTTTCTAGATTTCTAGATGTTTCTAGCTCTTTTTGCTGATCTGGTCCTGACATCATCCACACAAAAATTCCCTGGCGGCTGTAGCCTGCAGTTTTTTGGCAGAGTTGGAAGGTTTGGGTTTCTGCGATGCATTGGATGTGACCGACAATCTCTTTGCGTGACTTCCGAATTTCATGTGTGCTTGGATATCTTGGATGTGGATCATCCGCTGGTCCATCTCGGCCAACTGCTCCGCAAGAGCTCTGTGCATCTCAGAAACAACCTGACCGGGTGGAAATGGGACGGTGCACAACTAAACTTGTTATCTCAGGGTCCGACTTCAGGAAAATCATATTTGGCAGCAAACCCAAGAAGAAACCATCCCAAAATCATCCAGAATCCAAGAAAATGGATATCATTCTGCATCGTCCCATTGCAGGTTGTATGCCCAATTTCACAAAACCCATTTTCGGGGGGAATGCCATCCATTGGAATAGCTATTTCACGTATACCATTCCCATAGCTCCCACACTTATCCCAGAATCGCCCCACAATATCCCATTTGCTTTCCCGACATTTTTCTTCCAACAAATCTCCCATAATTCCACATTGATTACTAGCATGAAAAACTAATGCAGCATTGGGCTTATTTTCTTCTGGTAAATATGGCATTGGGTTTTCCCTTACCTTTCCCCAGCCTCAAGCAAGTGTCTCATGGATGGTTCTGGGCTCATTTCCTGTGAAGCCTCTGCACCGAGGTCATCTTCAGATGCTAGTCGGCCATAGAGCGGCATCGGTTCCACGGCCGGTGGCCCAGGCTCAGGCACCAGGGCCAACATGGCAATTCAACAAAATTGGCGAAAATTGCTGCAACGACCCACAAAGAAAGGATGATGTGAGGCTTTTGTTTTTCATGTTTCCACGTTTTCGTGAGTCATGAGTCTGCACTACCCTCTTAACACGAAGCCTGACAGCCTGCCGATGAACTTGCCGGCCAAGCAACCTACTCATGCATCGATTGTCTTTGCATCGTGTTCAACGTGACCTATGGCATGAAAACTGGTGGAAACATCTTTGGAGCCGAAGATGTTGCAGTCGCAGCCTGTCCAAATCGACATAGATGCGTCCCGAGAGATACACTAGAGCTGAGCATGTACAAAGCATTGGCATGGGTGAAAAAGTCATTGGTGGTTAGGCATAACATCCTCTCTTCCACAAAGTAGGACACTAGAATCACTACACTAGTGCTTGAAACTCAGGGAAAAACAACCACCTTCGGATCCTAAGAACCTTCACCTTTCTGACAAGCACAATGGATGCATGGTACATTCACCTTCTTGACCCATATCTCTTTGGCCAATGGCAGATTGGCCGCTAATCCCCGCGGTAATTTTGTTGGGACAATGGAAATCGGAGTCTCTCCGTCCCGCCGGCGCCCGGAAGTTCGACCCAAGCATAAAAATGAAACTTTGCACAGGGGACGGGCCAAAATTCTGATGTGTTTGGAAACCGCCATAGGGGTTTGGGGTGCTTAATTTTGACCCATCCAACTATGAACTATGTACACCTGGGCTTCAAAAGCCGAGTGCCATGTGCAAAGCTTTTTCGGTCAGTGCCTGGTGAAGATTTAACAGCGTTGGACGACTCGCTGGAACAGGTGCAAAATTCCAGGGGGATTGGTCCTGTACTGGTCCTGTGTCCAAGCCAACCCAATCATCCAATGGTTGATCCTCGCCATTTCCGAGCGCCTTGAGGCAGGTACCGGCTGCTTGGCCCTGCTCTTCCTGAGCGGATGATGTGCAACGCCAACAACAGAAAAGATTGAAAAAATATGTGTATACCGTCACTTCACTTAGACTTTATTTCCCCATGTTCCAGGGGTGTGCTAAAAATCAGGGAAGTAACCTATCACTTGTTTGCATTCTTTACACTTTACACATCTGACCATCCACTGAATCCACTCTCAAAAACCGCGAGATCAAAGGACCAATGCTGACGTGAGAACAAGACTTCAAAACATGTTCTTCCCATGAAACATCTTCAAGAAGAAAGAAAATGAATGATGCTGGAAAAGGTCTTTGGACCACCAGCTAGAGTATGTCTTCGTTCTTACGCAGTGCTACAATTCAATGTATGTGACATGTGGCCATGGCCAAAAAGTCGAGCAACCTGATTGAACCTTCAAAGTCGATGGTTTTGGGCGATCTGGGGCCGCCGACATCATGAAAACCACAAATCTTGGTCTGTGTCACTATGCTGACACCCTGAAGCCGACTGCAGGACATCGAACACATCTCCTATAGGAAAAACCCAATATATATATATATATATATATACAGCATCATGCAGGACTGTGCAGAACAGAATATGATGCTTCATCCATGGCAAGACTTTCCTAGGGTGGATTGGCAAACCTCCAGATACTCCCTCTGTGCCTCAAAAGCTTAAAGGAGCAGCTGAGGCAAGTGTCGGTGGAGCCAACAAAATCACTTTGAACATGTTTTTGCCCCTAAAGGGTTTTTGGAAGCATTCCACTTTTTTGATTTGGTGTTTTTGGTTGTTTTTTTGCATGTCTCGCAAACCCAATTGGTCACGTGGGGCAATGCCTTCTTTGGAGCGGCAGCGAAAATGCATTTCAACCTTGACGAGCCATGAAGGGTCGCGACGGACATGACTGAGTCCAAGTGTGGGGCCCTGCTCAATGCGGTATACATGGTATAACTGGTATACCCGGTATCAATTTCTCACCTGGAAGTCACATGGAAATCCTTCACCAAAGATCATCTATAGAAGAGTACTTGTTTGAAAGGGGATGCCTGTATCCAAAGCATCCAAGCAGCGTTTGATCATTGACCTTGTACTCATCGTCCGTTTTGACGATGATGTATTTCCTCAAGCAAACCATTCGATGCGCTACGGTCCGCATCCTGCAAAAGGAACCAGGAAACATATTCAGTTGGAACGAACTACAAATGGATACAAATGGAATTCTTGGAAAACCGGCTAGTGTTATTATATAATAATTATTCATCATTATTCCCCCCGTGAAAATGACCATTGTTGGGATATAACCCACAACCAAATGGCCACCCGGCCACACCATCTTCTCCCTTACCAGCCTTACCACCAATGCAGAGAAGCTTCTGGCCACCCAGCCACAATCCTTCCGGGGGAGCTTTCAAGTTCTCAGCCACAAATTGCAACGTCGCGGCCTCCGCAACAACTAAGTGACTAAAATGACTAAAACATAGGTCTTGGCTGAAAATTTGGGATTCCCCACATTGGATAAAAATTGAGATCTGTTTCCCAAAACTCGATGGCATTTCCCCCATGTTTCAAACGCTGAATCCCAGAACTATTTTGCGGAGCCAATCGCGAGAAACCCCTGCCCCCTTGTGACTCATACGTAAGTTTCATGACTTGGGGCCCGAGGCCTCCGAAACCAGCATCTCCCTTCCTGACATGTCCTTGGAAGTGCAAGCAACAACGTCTGATGCTGTGACCGTTCGTTCAGTTCGATGGGCTTGGGTCCCGGCTTCCTGCATGATCATCTCTTCATGGTCATGCTTGTAGATGAAATTCCATCCAGCCTCCATAGAGTGACAGAAACAGGGAGACTGAAAACAGTTGACCCCAGAAACCCATAGACACCAGCATTTTGTATTGTATAAAAAATTATTAAGGTACAAATCATTGCAAGCGTCACCATGTGCTACACATGTTGTATAGTGGCAACATATTGTATGTGCACCGCCATGTGTTGCTTTTTTGGCACCTCAAGGGCAGCACTGGCAAAGAAGTTGCCGTCACCCAGCTTGGCCATGCCAGCCGCATAGCAGTAGCCCTCGCGTCCGAGGGCCAACGCTTGGGCCATATAGTATCTGTCGAGATAGAGTGTATGTACAGAATATAATATTACCCGCAGCCCAGAGGCCCGTTTATCATGCAACTCTTTAGGGTTTCTGTAGGGTTTGTTTAGGGTTAATTTAGGGTCTCGTTTCGTTTTTTTGAGTTTTTGCAACGTTTTTGATAAGATGTTACTGTACTTTCAAGGCTTACTTGGGGGTTCATGTCAGCTTTAGGTTTTAGGGTTTAGGAGTTTGGGTGTAGGGTTTGGGTTTTTGTGTTTTGGAAACAAGTCTTGGCAGCCAAGTTGCCATGTCACCGACATACCAACATGCAAAAAAAACTGGTCCTGCGCGGTTAAAATCCACTTTGCCAGGCAGCACCCCTGTCCTGGCCGTAATATTATCATTATATTGTGTATATGTATTTAATTAGATATATATATATATATAATTGTACATATTATTATATACATATATCATATATATATATATTACTAAATATATGTATAAGTTAAGCCTGTAAGCCTCCATGGGCCTTGTCAACAAGGAACAGCTTCAGGTACTGATTCTCAAAGGTTCTTTGATCCACCATCCTTGGCTCCTGGATTTTTTTCCGCCTCACACCAAAGTGCTCAGGAGTAGGAGTGTAGCAAAGCAAGGGGGAATGAACCATGCCCACAATTTCCAGGGATGCGAACCATGACATGCTGCCATCCTTGAACTTGCTTTGTGGAATTTGAACATTGGCATTTGGTTTGCTACTCCGATAAAGAGTTGAGAGGACAATGGAATATGAACCCAGGGAACCCAGTTCTTGAAAAGGATATGAAAGGATAGCTGCCACATGCTGCCACCACCACAAAATGCTGATCCACCAAAGCTGGTGCATCCTGCTCTAAGTTGGTCGGCCTCCGCACCGGTTTGCTTCTGGGCGAACGGAGGTGTTTTTTTCGTGCCCGCAACTTGCCCCCTCGGAACTCACGGGGTATGGCCAAATTGAAATTTGGAGAGCCCCAGTTTTTTTGCATGTCATCCTGGGGTAGCCCCAAATCCACTGTTGCATCATCAGTTTCCCTGAAATCGCCAGCAATTGGGTTCAAATCCCCCATTTCAACCGAGGCGGTTGCGCAGCAGATCTGCTGCTACCATGGAGTTGCACTGAAGCTGTTCGGTGTCTTCGAGACCTGCCATCGATTTACGTGGGGAAGATGCCCCATGAACCAATGGTGAAACTGATGGTGGCTTGAAATTGAGATACCCTGGGAGTTGATTGTAGAGGAATCCTAGGAATCCACCAAATACCATTGTTTGAACCTTTCAAAAAATGTACGAACGATTTTCTTCACACCTGGTATAAAAATAATCCATGTCAATGTGTTCTCGGCATTTCTTGGTGATAGCCATCATGCCATCATCATGCCACCGTCCCACACTGATGTCGACCTGCGTCAAGCACGGTCTCTTTCTCTTCGGCCTGGGAGCCCCGAAGTGCTCGAGAACCGACCATCTTTTGGGCTGATACTTTGGGACATGACATTTTTTGACTGCTGGAATCTTGGTGTCACAATCACAACAATCACAATCGCAAAAATAAAAACATAAATAGATATATATATATATTTGTATATATTATAAATATGTATATATTATATGTACATATAAATAGTCATGTATATATATATATATCATCGAGTTGCGCGGAAGTTACTCCAAAACAAAATCAGGCTGAGATCCCGGTCAAGTCGCGGAGGGAGCGCCGCACCTGGCGGGGCCACACCTGGTGTCTGTTTGAAAATCCGGGGAATGTGTTGAATGCAGCATAAAAATTGTAATTTCAATGAAGAAAATTAGGTTTTCAACATCATTCAACCATCACAAAAAATGGAATACCTTATATTCAGACAAACCCTTATCCAGATCATATGATTTGTACATCAAGTTGTATGAGGCACGCGCTAGCTTCCATAGGATACATTTTAAGACATTCCAAACACAGCATCAAGTCCCATCTAGCCCTAGCCCGAACCACGCTGCCACGACCCTACCAATCAGGGTCAAAGACAAAGAAGTTCATGTCAAACCAGCCAGTGTTTCAAAGCAAAGGCAATCTACACGTATGGTAGAAAGTGCCAACAACCAACGGCAACCTCAATTTGTCAGCCAAAGCCGGACATGGAAGCGAATTCCGAACCACAGCTGGAATATGTAGGTGCCACACCAATAAACCCACTTGTGTCTAATCTAACCGCCTATATAATCGGTATGTTTTTCGTGTGTTTCCAATGTTGCCTGATTTTTGGTCTGTTTCTTCCCAAGTTTTGCAATCCATCATCCAAGTTCGATGAAGGTCCCTCCTTCTAAGTGTCAAGCCAATTTTCCGTGGCCGGAGCGTCCGAACGAACCTGCACCAGGCAGAGCACATCATCTTGGAATCCGACAAAATTGCATGAACAAATATAGACAATGCTTTTGTGAGTACAACGTAATGGTTGGTGAATGCCATGTCCGATCATGGATTATGATAATATATGTGCTCAAGTTTCATGTGCCTCCACTAAAATGGTCTAATGACTTCGATGATTTGTGGTACCCCTATTTTAGGAAACCTTCATTATCCCCTACATTCCCTAAATGAGAAATACATATATATATATATGTATTATATGATATATATATATATATTATACATCCCATATAGTACCAGTATATACTCCCAGTGTATAAACATACGTGTATATATATATGTTATTACATGTTAATATTCTCATGATGGTAATATAACTCCCATGGCCATCCCTCATCCTTCAAGGTCAAGGCACAGACAAGAATCTCCAGGACGGAACGCGGGTTTTTAGAGCGCGACCTGGGGCGCCGGATTTTGGGCACCTTCTTCCGGAAAAAAAAAACATCGAAGTTATAAGTACAAGTCCAAAAGTTTGATATCATAAGTCACTTCCAAACTTGAAAGCATAATAAGTATCATAAGTTTCATAAGTATCATAAGAACAAGTCCATTCCAGTTGAGATGGACTTCGGTGACTTTGGAAGGCAGAAGATGAATTCCCAGAGGAAAGATGGACAGGTTTGGGTGCCCAAAGATCTCAGCACCTTCGGCTGGGGCAAAACAGGTCCATAGCGATGCCAAATCCACCAGTTCCACATGAATTTCCCCTTGGGGGATTTCCCATGTCCATGAGTTCTGGAAGGTACAGTATCTTGAAAGTGGAAAAAAAATGCATTGCGCATTTGTCTTTGATTCGACTTGACCCTTGAAACCAACAGCTCAGTGGCATACCCCGTGAACCCCTTCATTAAATATAAAAATCTACATTTGGGTAAGGCTGCGCACGGAAGCAGATTTGCGTTACTCTTGAGCAGAGGCACGAAGTTCGAACTTCTTGTGCACCTGGCACACAGAGGCCGGGAAGGTCACCCAAAAATCCAGGTTCTGTGTGCTGGAATCCGACTAACTATGTCTATCGTCTTTCCATCTTGACAGTCAAACATGCAGCAGCTGCGGCCCAGCTTGTGTGTCATGTACCCAGCCTACAAGCCATGAAGATATACACAGCTTTGTAGGCACTTACATATAGACTGCTGTGATTTTCGGGTATTCATGCGGCGACTCTACATTGCCACCTCCATTGGTGACTCAACTGAGAAAGTGGAACATCCAACTCCTTTGGATCGCGGTTCTGCGTGTGAATTACCCGAAGAGTTCTCCCATTTGCAAGCGATGTTCTAAGCATAGTTTCTAACCACCAATCTTCATCCTGGTTGGTTTTATATATATACATATATGTGTATAAACATATAAATATATGAACATAGCATTATATAAATTTATATATCGCCATATGTTCTTGCATCCCCATTTTTTTGAGGTCATGGCTGAATGTTGGCCCATTAAAGCACCCAATTTCAGCCGCACCATATTGATGTGTTCGTCGTGGAATGCCACCCAATCTTCCGTCGCCTGGGCATCAAATCTCTAAATACTCTTATAATATTGATATGTATATATATATACATTGATAAACATGCATGCAAAGATATGTAAATAATATAATATAACATAATATAATATAATATAATAAAATACGATACAATATGTATATAATATGTATATAATATGTATATGATGTAATATCATATAACATTATGTAATATAATACAAAAGAAAACAGTATAAAAACAAAATGTATAGTACAAATATATATATATATTATATATAATACAAAAAAACATCGTATAGTATAGTATAGTAAACTTTACTATACTATACTATGATCTAATCTAGACTAATTTAAAAACAATGTATTACATTATTGTCTTATATCATGTCCTATCATATACTATAGTATACTACATTATACTAAAATAAAGTAAAATACAAGACAAAAGAAAATAATGTAGAGTATAGTAAAATATAATATAGTATACTATACTATACTGCACTATACTATACTATACTAAGATATCGTAATATCATATAGTACATTATACTATAATATAATATAAGGTAACATAATGTAATATAAAGTATAAAAAAAATAATGAGAGATACTATAATGTACTATCATATACTATCATATACTTCAATATACTATAATAGACTATAAAAAAAAAAAAACTATAATATAATATAATATAATACAATATAATATAAAATAATATAATAATATAATACAATATAATATAATATAATATAGTATAATATACTATAATAAACTATAATATACTATAAAATAATATAATTTATCAAATTTTCTATGATATACTATGATATACTATAATATACTATAATATATTATAATATACTATAATATACTATAATATACTATAATATACTATAATATACTATAATATACTATAATAAAGTATAATATACTATACTATACTATACTATACTATAATCCAGTATAATATACTTTAATATACTATAATATACTATAATATGGTATAATATACTTTAATATACTATAAGATACTATAATATACTTTGATATACCATAACATATTATACTATACGATACCATACTATGATATTACATCAAATCAAATAATATAATATCATATAAAGCAATAAATTATAATCCAGTCAAATAGAATATGACAAACTAGATTATAATGTAAAGAAACGAATAGCACTATTACAATAAATGTATATATGTATATGTGAATGTATACATACATATGTACATATTGTATATATGTATATATGTATCTATGTATGTATGTATATACAGGGTTTATACACATATATGTAAATATAGGTACATGTATATATATATATATTTACATGTATATATGTATGTATGTATAAATATATATATATATGTATATGTATATATGCATATATGTGTATATTTAGATGTATATATGTATATTTGTATAGTACATTGCACACAGATAGAATATGGACTATTTTTTTGCTAATTGCTTCAATTCAGGATTTTTTCGCCGACCCGTGAGCCTGAGAATTCTATCTGCATGCAGATAGAATATGGGATGTCCAAATCATATATGAACGTACAAAACATACATATTCAATTCAAACCTGCACCACGGGCACATATGTATATTTGATTATACGAATTATATGTTTACAAGAAATTGGTTGCTGGGAATGCACATAGAATATAGCACAGCATTGCACACACACACACACATTTATTCACATGCATCATTGCCAGCACCACTTCCTATGCATCTTTTTGATGGCTATGTTCATAAGCAAAGCAAATACCGAAGGCCGAAGGCACCTTGCGACTTTCTTTTAATGAAATTGGTTGCAGGAATTGCACATAGAATACACGATGACTATTGCCATGTCGGGGGTGAGCGACAAGATTTCCAAAGCAAAATGAAAGGAAACGGATGCAAAATGAAAGGCCATGAATGCAACATGAAAGGATATGAATGGAAATTGAAAGGAAATGAATGGAAAATGAAAGGAAACAAATGCAAAATGAAAGGCATGAATGCAAAATGCATGGAAATGGATGGAAAGAAACAAACATATTATGTTTGTTATGGTATTAATTCATTTGTATCATATGATCCGTTTACAAGAAATTGGTTGCAGGGAATGCACATAGAATATAGCACGGCATTGCACACACACTTGCTCAGGAATATCTTTGCGAATTCTGATGTGGAGTGCATTTTACGTGCAAAAACACTCCAATTAAACCTGACAGGAGCCATTGGATGATCAGAAGTGAGAAACCTCAGGTTGAAGTTTGGTCGGCACTTGACAATGCAGTTAAATATGACGTGTCCCCCAGCTGCGACTTGAATGCGCCCAGGAGCGACACTGCAGGTACAGAAGTTTGCGTCCAAACTTCCATCCAGTTGATTTCCATAGCTTCGTTGGCGTGACTAGGAAATCAACCGTCACGCCCCCTGCAATTGAAAAGGAGATTGGATAAACGCCTGGTAAAATACTCAAAACTGGTTCATTGTAATGGCAAAGAACCTGATAAGAAAAAGCAATTCCGTCAATCAAGGTAGAAGTTTTACATCTCTTCAGATGTTCCACACACACGCCCCGCTGCCGCGAGGCTTTTTAAGGCCCCGACGAATGAGATGAAGGTGAAGATGAAGGAAAGATGAAAATGAGATGACGATGAAAATGAGATGACAATTACTTAACGGGAACACAAGAGGGTGAACGCAAAAAGGAAAAGGAAAAAGAGAGAACACCAACAACAACACACCTGGCCCGAAACGGGCAAACCCTGAAAGGGCAAGGAAAAAGAAAAAGCGGACGGACGACAGACAGAAGCGCCTGACACAACCTACCTAGGAACGCGAAGGACCCAAACCTGACCTAGAGAGAAAGCGTGTATGAGATAGGGGGACCAATGAACAAGTAGTTGATGAAATAAGATGCATCCACATTACGTGCATTTTTCGTGATAAGGCTCAAAGGCCCTCGGCTTTCATGTCACAACCCTGTAAACGGCTTAAGTTGTCAACCCCTGAATTACGTGCACAGTTGAACCTCACCAACGACCATAAAAGGAAAGAAAAACCACACCTAAAGCATGTCCTGCTGCCTGATTTTTCATGAAAGAAAAGGTGAAGCCAGGCACAGCGGCGCGTTGTTCAACCAAACGACATTCGACAGGGTGAAAACCGAAAAATGGCCAGCTGTTCACTTTACTTAAACCAATTACTAATTCAAAAGTGTAATTCAGACAAAAGAAAAGGTGAAGCCAGGCACAGCGGCATGCTGTTCAACCAAACGACAGTCGACAGGGTGAAAACCGAAAAATGGCCAGCTGTTTCACGTTACTTAGACGAATTACTAATTCAAAAGTGTCAATTCAGAGGTCATTTCGAAGTGTCAAGTCTTAGCTTGGAAAAGCTTTCCCCCAAGGGTTCATGCCACCTTGACGAATCCAGCATGAATCACACACTTGCTCAGGAACATCTTTGCGAATTCTGATGTGGAGTGCATCTTACGTGCAAAAACACTCCAGTTAAACCTGACAGGAGCCATTGAATGATCAGAAGTGAGAAACCTCAGGTTGAAGTTTGGTTGGCACTTGACAATGCAGTTAAATATGACGTGTCCCCCAGCTGCGACTTGAATGCGCCCAGGAGCGACACTGCAGGTACAGAAGTTTGCGTCCAAACTTCCATCCAGTTGATTTCCATAGCTTCGTTGGCGTGACTAGGAAATCAACCGTCACGCCCCCTGCAATTGAAAAGGAGATTGGATAAACGCCTGGTAAAATACTCAAAACTGGTTCATTGATTTCATTGTAATGGCAAAGAACCTGATAAGAAAAAGCAATTCCGTCAATCAAGGTAGAAGTTTTACATCTCTTCAGATGTTCCACACACACGCATTTATTCACATGGATCATTGCCAGCACCACTTCCTATGCATAATTTTGACGGCTATGTTCATAAACAAAGCAAATACCGAAGGCACCTTGCGACTTTATTTTAATGAAATTGGTTGCAGGAATTGCACATAGAATACAGGATTACCGTTTTCTATTGCCGTGTCGGGGGTGAGCGACAAGATTTCCAAAGCAAAATGAAAGGAAACGGATGCAAAATGGCAGGAAATGGATGCAACATGAAACGATATGAATGGAAATTGAAAGAAAATGAATGGAAAATGAAAGGAAACAAATTCAAAATGAAAGGAAATGAATGCAAAATGCACGGAAATGGATGGAAAGAAACAAACACATTATGTTTGTTATGGTATTGATTCATTTGTATCATATGATCCGTTTACAAGAAATTGGTTGCAGGGAATGCACATAGAATATAGCACAGTATTGCACACACACACACATTTATTCACATGCATCATTGCAAGCACCACTTCCTATGCATAATTTTGACGGCTATGTTCATAAACAAAGCAAATACCGAAGGCACCTTGCGACTTTCTTTTAATGAAATTGGTTGCAGGAATTGCACATAGAATACACGATTACCGTTTTCTATTGCCATGTCGGGGGTGATCGACAAGATTTCCAAAGCAAAATGAAAGAAAACGGATGCAAAATGAAAGGAAATGAATGCAAAATTGGAAGGAAAGGGACGGAAGGTTTTCTCTGTCAAGGCCCTTTCATAAAACAATTCAAAATGTTGCAGATAGAATATATCTGGAGGCCAGCATTGCTGGTCGTGTAGATAAATAATGCGGGCTCAACATACTACATAGTTATTTGTATCTAATGTATTTGGAAACCAGCATTTTACATATGCATTCTATTCACAACATATATTTGGAAGCCAGCGTTGCTGGTTGTGTATATAGATATATGACACGGGTTCCACATGCCAGACATGTATTTTGTATAGAAAATATACAGAAAACATGTCTTAAAATTAACATTTTTCATATTCTATTTGTCTGATATTCTATCTGCTGGTAGGAATTACGTTTTTCATATATATAAACTAGTCTATATAAAATATTCTATCACAAGAGCCAAAGGATAGTCTTGCAAAGATGCAGCTCGTTAGAAGACAACAAGCCAGAGCAGCAGAACCAAAACACAAAAAATGCTGCAGAATGTAGAGAAGATCATTATTCCTGAAATCTTTGTTTCGCGTGACGATGTACAGACTGACAATTTGATCCGGGGTAGGGGAAAATTCTGCAAGAGCTGGGAAGGAAGTGGAGGGAACGTGTTTTCTGCTAAGGCCCTTTCATAAAAGGTTCAAAATGTTGCAGATAGAATATATTTGGAAATCAGCGTTGCCGGTTCTGGAAGCCAATATTTTACATTTATAAATATATATATATGTATGCATCTTATTCGCAATATATATATATATTTGGAAGCCAGCGTTGCTGGTTGTGTATAAATATATATATAATTATTTATACAAATATGCAATACATGTATTCTGTTTGGAATGTGTATATATACAGTAAACATGTATCCAATCTAACATCTCTCATATTCTATCTGTACGATATTCTATCTGCTGGTGGGAATTACTTTTTATATATATATATAAAATATTCTATCTGCATACTAATTACTTTCACATAATCTATGTGTGTGGAATCCACTATATATATATAAATGCATATATGCATATATGCATATATGCATATATGTATATATGTATATATGTATATATGTATATATGTATATATGTATATATGTATATATGTATATATGTATATATGTATGTATGTATATATGTATATGTATATATGTATATATGTATATATTTATATATGTATATATGTATATATGTATATATGTATTTATGTATTTATGTATATATGTATATATGTAATTATATGTATGTATATATATATATGAATATGTGTATATATATATATACGTATATATAAATATATATGAATATGTACATGTACATGTAATGTATGTGCATGTGTATATGTATATGTATATCATATCAATATGTCTACATGCATGGACCCCGTTTATATCCATCAAAGGATTCGGAGTTTTGCCGAGACCAACCCTTTAAGGTCAGCTTCAACTTGGAGTCCCTGCCAGATGCTCCATACCTTCCCAGGGATCTTCACCTGGAGTACCCCTGAGGCCTCAAACATGGTCCAAGACCGTATATGCACGTAGTATGTGTATTTATATATATATATTTATTTATTTCATACATATATAATCTCATCATATATATTATATATACATGAAAATGCAATCTGATGAGCACGGTGAAAGTTGGGCATTAGAATTGCAATGATACTCTACCTGGGCAGGGAGAAAGTGATTATTTTTTGATCTCCGAGTCCACAATGCTGCAAACTCGGATTGCAAACGATTTGCACCACTCTCCCAGATCTGGTAATAAAAAACCTTAACCACCACCAGACATCAAATGTTCAGGAACTGTACCTGCTGATCATTTCTCCTGGTAAATATTCACTATCAAGACCTTCAGCTGCAATTCCGTTTTTGCATCATGCTGCAACAACATGAAGACATTGAAAGACGGCTGACTACTGGTGGATTGATGCAAATGGTCGCTGTAATGCGATTCATGATTTCATTGACAAGAGTCCACCAAATAGCCCAAGCAACACACTCTTGTACTTCCAAAAAACAACCAACAACGGTGGAGCGCATGCTGCTCAAGTAAAATGTCCAACCACCATCAGCAGTACCCTTCCGGACTCTGCATCCCCTGAATCTTCCTGGGAGTTCCGACTGCAGCCAGCGGGTAATTTTTGTTCCCGCTGGGCATTTTGGCCCTGTCGACACTCAGAAAAGAAGTCACACCCATAACCTCCATGTATGGTGCAATGTAGCAAAATCTAGCAATGGAGGCTTGGATCATTTGTTTGGGAATGAACGTATGTATATATATATATATATAATTATATAGTTATATATGTCGTATATATACCATGTACTACACACAAAGTGGGAATTACTGGCCCCCATCCTACGTACAACAAGTAAACCGTTGATGTACTCGCCCCACATGTCGCGATAGACAACAACAACGATCAACAATAAATTGTTCCCCACTAGTCCGCACTACAACCATTCGAAACCTTCGGCCGCTGGGGACTCAGGAATGGAAATGAAATGAACATAGAATTCGGAGAATGATCAACGGAAACAAGGAACCGTCCTGTGCACCAATGGTCCCTTGCAGCTGACGGCTGCATGCGTTGCTGGCCTCCCAGGCAAGTTGAAATTGAAGCAACAGCAATTTTGTTCCCAAACACGGGATCTACAGTGCTGTCATACACCTGATGTAGGAGGATAAATTCAACACAAAATTGAACTATATAGAAGACAAATGTACGACAGACTGGCGAGCAGCGCAAACCTTACAGCCTTACAGAACGAACATTTCAAATCATGATAAAATTCCAGGGAGACAAGTTCGGGGTCGAAAACAAATGGCCCGACATGAGTTGGATGGGAACAAGGGACGAAAATCGATAAACCCAAACCTTCTGTCAAGCTGACACATCTCATCACAACAACAATTTATAAAATCCAAAATTGCGTTAAAATCCAAATTGTTTGAAGATCAGGGTATTTGCAAAGTGCCGTGGGCATTCACGAAGGCACAAACGGTACAATGATGACGCAACAATGCGCAATGGAGTTCGCAATTTCAATCAATTTTTGCACAGCCTTAATAGCCCGTTGCAGCAGCCCCATCTTGTTTGGGCCAACTGTGCTGGCATGAAACCCAAAAATGTATGATATGTATGTTTAATGGCGACCACTAGCAACAACTGCACCAACAACTGCAGTTGAACATGAAACCGTATATCGAAAATACAACATACATAATTACCCATTCAACTAATATCATCCGTTTCCAACACAACAGGAAAAAAAACATTTAACGCAATGCACGCAGTTAATCCTGATTAAAATCAAACATGTTGCAAGATAAACAACATCCGTTCAAACACCGGAAAATCAAAAAATATGAGTTACTTGCCGATTTTTGTTCCATTGATTTGCGATTTGTCACTGAGCATACACCCGGAATGCATGGCTAGAGAAAAACCGCCCGTACGCACGGAATTGGATAGCATGCGTTTTTGAATTTGATTTTGTTTGAACTGGTTTGAAAATGGATATAAACAATTTTATTGTACAATAAATTTTCCAAACCATTCAGCTAGCAACTAATCTGATGAGTTCATGAGGAAACAGGGCAACTCAATGGGATGCGGTTCGCAATCGTGCATGGCACAAGTGTAAATAACCCGGTTTAGCAGCCCAACATTAGTGGCCGTTCCAAATTCAAGGTGAAAAGGTCCCCGACTAGCCTCCATGTTTGGGCCGCATTTTTGACTCGTGGTAACAATATGACAGACAAAGTGGGGGACACACCGGGAGACAAAATGGGAAAGAAAATAGTTGAGACAAAGTCAGGGACAAAGTGTGAGATACGGTCGGGAACAAATTTGCAACAAAGTGAAAAACAAGTGGGCGACAAGGAGGCAAAGTGGGAGACTGGTAAGGGACAAAATGGGAAACAAAGCGGGAGAGCAAATTATATAATGCAAGGCAGTGCGGCGCTCACTATTTTGACCACTAGCTTTGGGCCTGATACAACAGCAGAGTTTCCACTGACTCACATGACTTTTCCATGTAGCTGCAAATGTGCGAAAGCTCGGCAGTTCCTATTTTCACCTGCGTATTGAGCCACTTGTTACGGCCCATTCAAGTCTGTTGATCATGCTGGACATGCAACTGTGAGGTACATGACACTGCTACTAATATCTGACACCCCACCTACAAAGCGTACCATTTTGGTGCACTTTGTCCTTTACACTGCATGTCCTTCTTTGTTGTTTCCTAGGCACCGCAGGATTCATCCAAATCCTTTATGTCTTTGTTTTAGGTGCCATCTGTACATGTATGTATATCTATCTAATTCAGTTTCCTATCCCTCTCATCCAGCAGCGGCAGCGCTTGAAGATCTGGAGAAATCAGCGCCATGAGATACTCCATGACCACCACCATCATCATCGTAGTCATGTGGACGACCGTCTCGATCTCGTGGTAGAGATTCGCTTCGGTCATCATCGTCATCATCTGTGTTTTCTTCTTCTTCTCCTTCCTCATGTCTTGGAGAACCAAAATGGGTCTCCACCTCATCAAAGAAATCAACATCTCTGTAGCTGCCAATCCATGCCCTCACACGCTCAGCTGCTTCCATCCACATCTCAGGAACACCTGATTGAAATTTCACCAGCAAACCTTGTAGATGTCGAAGAAGACGTTGTTGGTTCGCGCGCTCCACAAGGTTCATCTCCATAGGGATATGGTTGCTGAGGTTGCGGCAATTGATGACCACGAAATTCTCTGGGCCAACACCTTGTCCCAGCATATCCCATCTGTAGTCATCCAACGCCACAGGCTCTCGAGGGACTGGCATGATGCTGAAAAAGTTCGCCATCGGAACACTGGAGAGAAAATAGTTCTCTTCATTGATTCTTCCCTGCATTGCTTGACTGCCTGAACTGGATGAGGGTCCACTGTTTTCGATTGCTTCGATCATGTCCATGGCCAGATTCATAGCAATAGTGCCTTGTGCTCTTCGTGCAAGAGGCTTGGGCATTGTTTTTGGTTCTGGTTCTGGATTTTCTGCACATGAACCTCTTGATCTCGATCTTGAAGTTGTAGCCGCCATTTCATCTTCACCTTGTTCTGAATCTTGCTCATGGGTGTGCGCATAGCCATAATGAATGTTGGTCCATTCATCCACATCTGAAACTTCTTCCATTGAGGATTGCAGGTATCTCTGGTACTTTGTGTTAGGGCTCTCTCTTTCTTCTTCAAAGCTCTCTTCTTCATCCGCTTGTTCTGGTACATCGCCATCAGCTGCATCATCAGCTGCACCATGCCGTGGGTCATCATGACACACTCGTCGTAGACGAAGTATGCTGGTTTCCTCACTGCGGTCAATGTCTCCAAAAGGTGTGACACTGGGATTTTCCTCATCTGACACAGTCTCATCTGCATCACCACATTCTTCTTCACCTTCTTCTCCATGTTCTTGTTCTACATCGCCACATTCATCACAGAAAGGATCTTCGCCACGTTTCAATTGTGCCACGTCTTTGATGGTTTTCCAAACTTCCTGATATTTTCTGAGCTCTTCCATTTTGCCCTTGAGCTTCCAGAAGAGTCTTCCAATCACTGCCAAAAGAAAAATGATCACCATCATTTCCCATGTCAATCTCCAGGATGTTGAATTGCCATCTGAATCATGCGTTCCACAGCCTTGTAGGTTGCTCGCCATGACCATGTTCACACGCAGTTTGACTAACTGGCGTTTCTTTCCTTGAAAAGGTCCACCAATTTCTTCGCTGTTGAAGTTGCTGCTTTGCAAACCCAAAATCACCATGAGAAATTCTCTGCGTTCCTTGGAAAGCGGTTTGGTGTTGAGGTCTGCAGGATTTTCTTTGGTTGAGATCCTGTCTACAAAGAACCATTGTTTGCGCATTGCACTCTGGGTCCAAAGTAGACGTGTTGCCAAGTGCTTTGCTCTGCCAGGGCCCAATCTTGCAAAGAAAGCTTGAGCACTCGTGGAGTCCAGCCGCAGTCTCATCATGACATGTTCTTGACTGCTGAGTCCACCTTTGTCTCCAATGAGAAACTGCAAAACCTGCTTCACATAGATCGCCTCCGTCAGTAGGCTGGTCGCTGCAAGGATCTCAGCCTCCATCGAACTCAAAGAAATCGAAGTCTGCGACCTTGAATGACTGTGAATGAGGCAACCATTGAGGTAGATCAGGCCAGAACTGGTACTGCGTCGGCTAATCTGACATGTAGCCCAATCACTGTCGCTGTAGAGCTCGAGCATATACTGCTTGGCATCTCGACGCTCATTTCCACCATACCAGCGTTGAAAGGTTGTTTCATGCAATCCAACCTTAGGATAATGCATCTTCATATCCTTGGAGTAGAGCAGGTAGTTGGCCAATTTCTTTATGGCACACATGGAGGTTTTGGTCGGCTTGGCCATGTAGGTTGCCAGAACTCGAACAGTATGTTGGATGTCGTACCTCTCCTGGCTCAAATAAATACAAATTCCAAGTGCTGACCTGAACAGTTTGGCTTCCTCTGCATCAAGGTAATCACTTTCTGCAGTCGTTGATGGGTCATGGATCTGAAGACTTCCATGATGGGGCACTGTTTTGCCACGTCTTTCTGTCACCTTCAACAACTCTGCCAGCTTGGGTATGTACCTGGCACTCGGCATCACATCAACGCCATCTTCTGTGAACTGAATCTCACGCTTCAGGTAGAAGATACTACCTTCATCACCAGGTTGGAGAGGACCTTCCATCTTCAGCTTCAGCTCCTCGGACAGGTCTTTGTAAAACTTCTCAATGTAGTCTTTTGGACCAACCACCAGCAGGTCATCGATGTGGGACGAAAGGAATGCCCTGACCTTCTTGTGACGAAAGATGGTTCCTTGAAAACTGTCATAGCAATGCCTTTCACAAACTTCCGTGAAAAACTTGTTCCATTCTGATGCTGCTACACGCTGTCCAGGCAAACATCGTTTCAGCACCCAAAACTTTTTCTGCTGCCCATGTGTGGCTTGGCCAAGTGCCCAAAGTGGGATCTCGATCAACACCAAAGATGACTGAGGTACTTGAAGGAAAGCATCACCAACATCAATGGATGCAATGGCCAATCCATGTACCAGGCTAAGCACAATGAGCATCTTCACCACTGACAATGGTGTCGTTGGGCTGAATGTTTCAGCATTGCTTGCATCTCCGGCTCTGAACTCTCTTGCAACTAGCCGGGCACGTCTTTTCCAGCGTCCATCTCGAAATCGCCAGTCTCGAACAAGTCGAGTGTCCAAGGTCATTGCTTCCTCCACCAAAAGGTCATCTCCTGCATCTTCAATCACATCCAACTTTCTCAATCTTTCCAATTCATCTTTCATTGCCGCTTGATCCAAACCTGCAAGCTCTTGATCTGACACTGTAGGCGGTCCAGCACCTTCATTGTAGAATCCACGCTTACGCATCCCTTCATCTGAGATCAGCACTTCATTGTCCATGAAGTCCCATTGGGATTCACACTGTTCCCAATCCCATGGCTCATCCATTGCCTTGACCTCCAACTCATCCTCATCATACAACTCCAACTCTTCAACCACGCGTCTCACATGTCTGGACGTAGAAGAGGCACCAGGGCTTCCAGGTAGATCGCCAGCATAGACAGGACTGTAAAGAGATGTTTTCTGCTGCTTGGGACTTGGTTCAACCACTGGAGCATCAGGATCAAATCTCACAAACTTGGCTTGTCCTTCTTCTCCTGCATGTTGGGCTCGTTTGGAAGCTTCTGCTTCAGCTTCTGCAACTCGCTGTCTCACAGGAATAGGCAGCCTGGTCTCACCTGCTGCACGCTTGTCTCGTCCTTGAACTTCAGCTTCAAACATGGCTTGATCTTCAGCTTGAACTATGGGAGGATTGCCTGAAGCCCCACCTTCCTCTGACATCTCTACTGGTTCAACATCTTCATCCAAGTCTTCCCTTGGATTCTCCTGGGCGTACTTCAAAACAGCACTCAGGTTCGACACCGCCAACTGGAGCATGTAGAAGAGGAAGTGGTGGATCAGCAGGCAATGCGGGCTTCACCTCGGTGTTCACGCCACGCTTCAAATCCCATGGTCCAACCTCCAAAGCCAGCGTCAACTCAGCATTCCAATGCTCTGCCACTTTTCGAATGGCACGGCTCCTGATGATCTCTGTGGGAGATACTGCCACCAGGTCCATATCTGTTGCACCTTTTCCAAGCCAAATGCCACGACGCCACTGAGTAGAGTACTTTGCCTGCAAAGAGTCCAGTGCAAAAACTTCTTCGCAAAAGGCACAAATTTTACCTTTGTATGGGCGTCCCCTCAAACTCATAAAAGAAGTTGTACCTGTTGTGGAAGATACATGGAATCGGTTGAGGAGCCATGCAGCATGAAGTACTGCCCATGCCCTCAGCGGGTGATCAGTTGGATAGGCCACCTTGGTCTTGTTTTCCACGTGAATCATGAGGCATTTTCCTTGCGACCGTAGAGACTGGATTGACCTCTCTGCCAAAGCTGTTCTGCCCTTGTGATACATCTTGTTGGGTTGTAAGATGGTCTCCAACCCCTGTGCGCTCCTGATTGTCTGCGCCACTCTCATTCCAGCTGCAAGTACTGGCTCGTTGTCATAGCACAACTCCACACGATCAAAATAACCCAATTCACCAAGGAAACGAGCTACCACCCCACCAACCACAGACTGCAACTTGTTTCTCAGAGGTTCCACGGCCACGTACTTGGTCCAATAATCCACCATGATCAGCACGTTCAAATTCCCTGAAATGAAATAAAAATCACACTGCACCGTGGGATAAGTCCTCTGGGACATCTCATCAGGAGGAGTAGGTCGTTGGTGATCAGATCTGCTCTTGCCTTGAACGCAAACACTGCACCATGGTTTGAAGGGGAGGTGTGTCACCTCATGAAGTTTCCTTTCTCGCATGGAAGGTTGTGCAGGGGCATCACGGTATCTCGGGTGAGGCTGCATAGCTTCATACTCACCACGTGCAATCTCCAAGGCTCGAAGTCTGAGTGAAGAAATGTGATGGGACTTGATGCGCTCAAAAATCTTTCTCTTGGAACCAGCCGTGGAGATACCCAAGAATCTGCCAGCAGTTCTCAAAGCTTCAACAGAGCTGTCAGCCGTAAGCTGCACATCATTCACCACAATAGTGTCTGCTTCAGCGTCCTCCCTCAAGGCCGGGGCAAGCTCTTGAAATTCTGGAATCTCTCTTCCAACAACATCATCTCGCCCTTCGTCAAGAACGGGTTGAATTTCCAGGCCTTCAGGAGGGAGATCATCTTGTCCAGGAAGTCCTCGGTAAGGAGATTCAGGTTCATAGGGCTCTTCCAAGTCATAGCCACCTGCATCCAACAATCCACCAAAAGAAGCCAAAACTTCATCACGTTCTGAGAGGATCGTGAGGATCACTACGTCTTCTCCTTGAGCAAAACTCTCCAAATCAGGAATCGGCCCAAAAGCATCTTCCAACTCAAGATATTTTCTACTAACCTCTGCCACATTCCATCCATGGTCTTCTTCAGCCAGAGATCGACGCTGAACCAATGTGGTTCTGTAACCAAAATTGCCAGCCCATGTTGGTCTTGGGTCAATGAAGTGAGTTCCAATTGACCTCATAAAAGGATAGCCACCTGCAACCTGCCAATGATTCATTCGAATGGCATCAGGACGAAACTTGTCCTCCAGCTCCACAATGGCTCTGATGTAGTTGACTGGCGCCTCCATTGCACCATCCATCTCCTCAACTCTGCACACACTGGCTCTGATGGCTAAGCTGTTGCGCTGATAGAAACGGGAATCTTGAGTTCTTTGCAAGGGCTTTCAAGACACAAATTGCCTTCATCCATCTGTCGCACGCTCCATCCATTCTGATAAAGTTGACCCAGTGACAAAATGCATGATTTGACATCTGCAATCAAAAAGGAATGTTCCAGTTCAGCTTCTTCGTTCTCATTGTCTTTCACCACTAAGGACACAGCACGAAATCCAGTTACCTTCAACTTGGTACCTTGGCAATCTCGAAGTTGAACATCCTGCAAATGGGTCGTGCTGCTACCACATTCTCCATAGGCCAATGGTAAAAGAGACACATCTGAACCGCTGTCAAGGATGACAATGTCCTTGGATTCATTGGCATCAAAACTGGAAATCATTCGAACTGACGCTTCTGAGCTCGAAGTCAAACTGGGTATCCCAAGAGGAATGGAATAAATCCTTCTGACAGAAGAGGCTGCTGTGCTTGATTGATAACTCGATTGGGGTGACTGCCGCGCATGTTGCTGTTGCTGCTGTTGAGGTTGATGTGGAACTCCCTGAGCTGGATAAACAGGCATCTGTTGTCCTTGAGTTTCATTCTGGGCAACTTGGTTCACCTGCATTCGATTTGGACATTCACGGCTCCAATGACCGTACTCAAAACAAATCCTGCACTGCTGAGAGTCCACCTTGCCTTTGGTTTTTCCTTTCTTTCCCCAATCTTTTCCACCTTTGCTCTTGCTCTTGCCTTTCTGCTTTCCTTTGCCACGACCTTTGTTTCCACGTCCTTTTCCTGAACGTCCTCGACCTTTTCCAAAAGCACCATAGCCAGCACTCCCATAGGACCACCATGATTTTCCTTTGTCTTTTGTCTTGCCCTTGGACTTGCTTTTGCCTTTGTTCTCTATGCGGTCCACTTCCATTGGTTGGGGTCCTGAGTCAGTGTTTTGCAAAGAACGTAGGACAGCATCAGGATTCCAAGCCTTGGTGGCTCTGTCATAGCTCATCATGATCTCCTTCAATTGCGCAAACGTAGTTTCTTCAGTGATTGTCAACTGGAGATATTCTCTAAGTTTCTGACCAGAGCATTTCACCAGAGTCGCCATTTTGAGTTCTGCTGGGTATGTCGAAGCAGAGGCATCTTCAAATTGCTGTACAAGTTGTTCATATGAAAGAATTTGTTCTGTGATGGTTTTCGTTCCAGTGAACATAGGATAGTTACTGAGGGTTTGTGCCAGCGCCAATGACCTTTGACGTGAAGAAGGTTCGAACTCCTGCAAAAGCGACCTCCACAACTTAAAGCCGTCTCTGATCTTTGCCAGGCTCTTCACCAAGCTGAGGCAACGCCCCTTGAGGTATGAAGTCAAAATGGCAAACAACTTCACACTCATCTCATGCTCTGTCTCTGAGTATGGAGGAATGGCATCCTGGGCTTTAAGTGTTTCCAGCTTGTCCAACGCGGTCTGAAACCTTGCATCACCAAAAGAAAGCCAGCTGGTAAAAGTAAATTTCCAGGACGTAAAACTCAGAGGATCAGCACCATCAAAAACTTCAGGACTTTTGAGGATACGCGACGCTGCTTGAAGACCAACTTCAGCAAGTGGTGTAGAGCTACTTGAAGATGAAGCTTGAGGTTGTTGTGAGAGGAGTCCAATGGCACGTTCAGCAGCAGTTGCTGCATGTGTAGCCGCTGTTGCCAACATAGACATTTGTTGAAGAAAGGCGTTCTCTCCTGGGGCTTGACCTTCCATTGCACCAGCCGCAGGAATCCAACTTGCAAACAACAATGCCTTGAACTGCAACCTGAATTGCACATTTCTCGCACGCTGTTTCTGCTTTTCTGACCTCACTTGACATCTGTTTTTCCTTGAAGTCATAGTCAGCGTTGTAGTAGTACATGCATCCATTTCCAGAGGCCCAAGTGGCTCATAGCTAAGAGAAAACACATCGTAATCAGCCAGCTCATCCACAAATGATTCAAAGTCACCATTCCGTAGAGCTGCTTCAGGATCAGGACAAAGAAATCCATCCATGATGTGAACTCCAGCTTGATGTCATAGTTCTCCACGTAGAGGAACATCTTCTCAAAGATCTCGTCGAGCTTGTCCAAAACGTTCACAAACTGCACAAAGTAGGGCATGTTCATCATCGCCATACCACCACCAGCATAGACCTCGGTATTGGGCTCTGTCTGCATATACCCAATCTCATAGGGTGACACGTTCATCACAGCCATGTCACCAGAGCATTGATTGCCACATGAGGTTGTTCTCATCCATTCAGCTGCTAATTCAGCTGTTTCCATGCACGCACCTCCAAACTCCTTCAAAGTCAGATGCAATTCCATCTCTGCATCTTTTGTCACAGGGCCTCGAACCACTGGTGAAACTGAAACATCGCATGCGCTGATTGCAAAGCTATCTCGTTTTTCTTCTGGAGGGACTTGAACCATCCAACGCTCTCCACCATGGACTTGAACCAGGTTTTCGCTACTCCACCACCACGTTTCGGCAGCTTGAGAAGTCCAACTGCCGATGGCAAGTTGGTACATCCCTGCATCCAAGTCCAGAGTTCTCGAATTGTTGCCTCTGGAGTCACCACAGCTCATCTCAAACGTGGGGAAGTGCATCAGGAGGCACTGATTGCCTTCCATCATGAGGTGCTCCTTTATCTCATAGGTCGGCTCCAACGTCAGCGCCATCAGCAGCGCAGCCGTCAGCCGCCATGCCAACCCCTGTAGCATCATCGCTCCCCCGGAGGAGAGCTCCGCTACCATGCGAAAGCTCGGCAGTTCCTATTTTCACCTGCGTATTGAGCCACTTGTTACGGCCCATTCAAGTCTGTTGATCATGCTGGACATGCAACTGTGAGGTACATGACACTGCTACTAATATCTGACAAAATGATTCAAAGTGATTTCACTTCTCTGTTTGTGCGTGTTATCCTTGGTATGAGTATGACTCGAAGGATTTTGCACTCCTCCTTAGTCATCTGAGCACTGTAGCTCTGAGGATTATCGCTCGCCATTGATCCCTTTTGGGATTTTTTTCCCGGGTTTCAGGAGAGCCCGGCATCCCTTCTCAAATTTCACCAAAATAAACTGCAAGTCAAAACTTTTCTTTGCCTGGCAATCCAAATTGGCTTTTGGTGATACCTGTCATTTCAGATGCTCCCACATGTCGTCTACGTAAAATTTGTAAACTTGGGAAAGTCATTCCTCACCTCTGTTTCTCGCCTTTCTGTAGGCCCTTTGAAAGCTGTTGCGCGCTTGGAACAGCAACTCAGATGTGAGTCCTGCCCCTGAATCTTTCGATCTCATCACGTTGTCAATGGCCTGCTGAAATTCCCGAGCGTCCTCAAACAGTTTGTTGGCCAAACACTCGTTTGTTGTGCCCGAAGGTCCGAAGGTTGCTTAGCAAACTTTCCAGCTGGTGCGCGGGATCTTCTCCGGTTTCCAAAACTATTTTATGACTCTCCTCTTTCGATTTTCCTGAGCGAGATGCTCTGGTAGGTGTTGATGTCCTTCTACGCCGTGGTGGATCTGTGTTCGCAGGTTCCCTCTGTCTGCCATCATGAATTGCCATGTTGGCCTTCTCCAGAATTGCCAAAGATTCACGTTGTTCTCTGGAAAGCTTTTGATGCCGCACGAAACCTCCTATCTCAATCAGTCCATATCTAATTGAGTCTCCATAATCTTCCAGCACCTCGAACTCTCCATCATACCTTTCCACATGATCTTCGAAGCGTCCTCTCAAATTGCTGAGCTGGGTTTGAAGACTACTCAGTTCGTCCCTGCGTTTTCCAATCCAAGTGTCATCCTCAGCTTGCTGAAGCTCATTGAAGTAAAGCCGCTTTTCCAACTTCCTCCAGTATTGAAAAGAACCACAAAGCATGTTCCTGCCCATACGCACGCAAGTATCAGGAGGCTTACCCAAATCCAAGAACTGTTCTCATCTTTCTCCATCACAGTGCATGTCTCCTCCTGAGCTGATACTGCAACCGGCTCAAGGCCCATCAATGCTGTGAGTTTCAAAACAACTTTGGCGATTTTGGACATGCTTTTGCTGTTTGAGCCATAGGTCCGAAGTTCTTCGCGTTCCATCTCTCCATGTAGCATGCCCACTTCTCCCATCAATGCAGGCAACCAGACGCTTCTTCGAGAGGGGTTTGGTCCCCCTGCACTGATGTTGAAGCTCGTGGGGATTTGTGTGAGAGAATGACTTCACCTTCTCTCACTTTGGTTTGTACCCAAAGTATTTTCCCTGCTGAGTGGCGCACCCTTGCCAACTCCTTGGCAAGAGACCAATTGTCTCGCAGATGAGCTGTCGGTGAAGTGTACCTGCAGCAGCTTTGCACCCAAGACAAACTCCAGGCACCGGCAAATATACAAACAGTCACATCGATGAAACAATTGAATGAAGCTCGCTCTCGCACGATGACAAAGAAATAACTTTCTGTGTTCTCGAGCTGGGGTATAACTAGTTTCCATTCCAAAAGTGAACACCACATGATGTCGACCGCCGATGGCTGAAGTTTGCAGCCTAATCCGCATCAGAGAAAGTCTCAAGTATCCACTGGGCTTCTTCACTGATTTTTCATTTTCCATGCCCAGGGGTTGGATTGCAAAGCTTGACTCCCAGGTTTCCTGTTCTGGCGAGTTGAACCTAACATGGACACCCCAAGTGACTTGCCAAGTGCGCGCAATCGACCTGAAGAGGGCAACCTACCCTCCCCACCCGCGTCCCCGAGGACTGACTAGGCCAGAGCACGAGAAGAGGAAGCAAGGGACATACTTGCTGGTGCGATTAAGAACCAAGCTGAGGATGGCCCGAGCACTCGTAAGGCTGCCATCAGAGCCTACAGGTATCTGCACACCATGGTAAGACAACATGGCCCCATGATCCAGCAAGCCTACAACGATGCTAAAGAGCACGCCGCACACAGCAAAGGCCCCTATACTATATACCAAAGACGCAAACGCAGCAGACCCTGCAGGGCACCAGCCCCTCCCGCGAGAGCTTCCCACAATACCGCCAGAGCTTACTTCAGAGTTGCTACACTGCCTATCAACCCTCCCAGACCCATGGCCTCTTGCAAAGATTACCATCAACATGGGAAGTGCCAGCCAATGGGTTTCCAAGATGTGGATGTTTTTTTTGCCGATGAATTTGTGCGACACACGGTGGGAACCTACACCTCCAAGCAACTACCTCAGCAAGAAATTGCCCTTAAAGCTGTACGAGCAGCACTCAAACACGTCCTTGACACTAGGTCGCCTCACCTTGCCTTCATGTTGGTGAAAGAATACTGGTTCCGAGAGCTTTACCTGGGCCTCAAAGTCGCTGCATCTTTTGACCGCAATGAATCATACCAGAGAACCATTGATGGACAGATCCGCTGTATCACCGCTGACTTCAAACCAAAAGGCGCGAATGTGGCATGGGATGCGAACTACATTAATGTATTCATCTTTTTTTTTGTCCGAGCCCGTTGCCTTTCGGCGGGTCTACGGTCTTGAGTCTTACTCGCGGACCAGCGGGGAATCGAACCTCCACCGGCAGTCTGTCAGCGACACAAGAATGCCGCGATACCAACTGAGCCACGAGGACGACTACATTAATGTATTCATCCCTGCCTGGATGGTCCCTCCCATGTACCACAGCCTACGCAGAGAAAACATCTTTTTTTCCGTCCAACGCCTCTTGGCTTCCGCCAGGTCGTTCAACACGCTAGATTGCATGTTGCATATTGGTTAATTCATTTAATTAAAGCAGTGACGTTATCCATCTTCATAGAAGGTGGGCTGCAAAAGTTGAACTGACACAGGACCAGTACACAGTCCAAATAGCCGTCACTATGCCGGAGGAACCAAACAAAGAAAACAGCAAACCAGCAAAACAACAACCACACACAAACAAAAAAGACAAGGCAAAGTGAACGGCTGGCCCAGTTCCGCAACATTAGTAACTGAAAGAAGGGTGGTTACACTTCTCGATTTGTGCGTGTCATCCTTGCGCAGGGGCCATGCTAATCTTCTCTGTATCGTTCCAATTTTATCGGATGATCCCCGAAGGGAATCCTTTTTTTTTCCTCTGGTGTGGCCGATAGCGCTCTGAGGCTTGGTCCTTACATGAGAAGAAGCAGGTTAAAATTTTAAAATAACATCTACATGGACACCTGTGGTCATGTAGGTTGGCAAATCAAAAACACAAACACAAAAGAAACAGCAAACCCAAACCGCAAAGGGCGAAACGCAGATCAGCCAGATATGCGCTTCGCCATCCAGCAGAGAAACAAAGCAAAAAGCGAACGGGGCAGGGGCCAACAAAAACAACCACAACCAAGATTTGCCAAGGACACAGTGACGAAAAGCCACTGTGTCGCAACTCACAAAAATGCACTAAACGAATTAGTTGCTGCCCAGAGAGTGAAACACGCTTCTAAATTGTTGTTGCTGACAGACAACAAAGCATTAGCTGTACACCATTGCATGCTAGCCTCTCAGAGTCCTCTCACATGTTCTTGCTCAGGTGTTTGGTTCAAGACGAAATGCGTTTGCCGTGAACCGAACGGTGGGTTCAGGAGCAGGAAGAGCAAATTGTTAGCAGCTAACTTGCAATTGTACCGCCCCCCTTACGGGGAGCAGCTCTGTGGCAGTGGCTAGGACGGTCACATAGGGCAAGGTAGGTGACCAGCCAACATCCGTCACTCACCACGTTCATCACTGGGCAGACATGAATAACGTACCAGGTTGAAGGGGAGACAAATCCTATCGCAAAATGCAGAGTCAGCAAAACATTGTGTCATGACCAGCCTGCAGCCGCAATAGGAAGGCAAATTTTCAAGCGTGCATAGTCAGTCACAGGGCGCCCAGTTGGAAAATATCCTGCAGAACTGTTCAGGTGCTTCCCAAACATCTTCGTCTCAGTACCATACCTGCAGTTCATTGCATCGTCGCAGCCAGGGGGTTCAGCAAGAGATCCAGAATAAGCTTCCACTCCCCCACCGAGTGGACCATCTGGAACCGACTCCGAAAAAGGACATCCGATCCATGTGCGCAGTCTTTGCTGCTCACGGGCGCCCCGGGCTGTCCCACAGAGTGCCACTGGGTCGCGCCAGTGTAACTCGCTGCAGTGCAGCCTGGTCCATGGCTCCGGCCGGCTAAATCCTACTCCCCTTACAGAACAAGACAGACGTGCCAGAGGTACAAGGCAACAGGACAGCCAAGACAAACAAAAGAACAAACGAATTCAGGGACAAACCAACCTCCAACAGATACGCGAGGGGAGGGAGGAAGTCACGGTGGCGGGTGTGTCTGTGATGTTGGGGCCGGCGGCCCTCTGCAATCCTTAGTCACCTCAGTAAGCTGACACCAGGCACAGCACACAAAAACAACAACACAACAGGAAGAGCAGACCAAAAACACCAGACAAGAACAAAACCACCAACCACAACAAGAGGCCAAAAGAGGTGCAACAAACAACACACCAAAAGACACACATATTTTTTTCCGTCCAACGCCTTCATGGCTTCCGCGAGCAGGGATCTTCCACTGCGTCCCCTGCTCCTTCAGGTCCTGTGATATTGCTGGTGCGAGGATTAAGTTGGAGCTCCGACGCCTGTAGCTGATGAGCTCGTAGCCGGTGAGCGTCGAAGTAGTGGATGCCCGGAATTGCAAGGAGCTTCCTATCCTGAAGAGCTTGATGGAAGAAGACCTTGGTACCTCGTTGCCTATGAACTAGGACCGGGTTTCCATTATGGGAAGCAACAACCAAA